AGTACCATTAATATATATAGAATATGTGCAGTTGCTACGTCAATTTCTCGTATATTTTTGCATATTTGTATCCTCTACTTATCTCGTATGTTTAAAACTATAATACATGGTCACGTAGAGATGCGGGTCTTTTATCGAAGTTGACCCGTTTATCTCGAGTTGTCTTTTTTTTTTTTTTTTTCTTCCACGCGAGCGCGAGACAACTTCTGTTAGCTTATCTCCTTTTCCTCTTGAAAATCGTCCACCCGGAAAATTATCGCTTAGTACGCGAATCCGTGTATGCGAACATGGCAGTGGGTGCACGTGGAACAAAGTTTCGAAGCGACGCCGTTGCTTTTTGCAAAAATACAAGCTTCGTGCAGCATCACGTTCATCTAAAATTGCAACTTCCACTTGACTGCTTATTCGTTTCTACAATTTTTCTAAAAGGTGCTTCTGTGGGTGCGGTTATTTCTCTCGAGACTTTTGAAATTATTGTCATTGTTTTCCGTAAGTACAAGTATACCTGCAGCTATTAGGGGTAATATAGGTTGGCCGTTGCGCGTTGGCCAGAGTAATGCGCGTTCGAAAGAAAAAGGTCGAGGTGGCCAATTGAAGTTTTTGCATAACTCGCTCGAGCTTATCAAGAGGCCGGCCGGCGAAGCGATTCAACTAATTAAAAGTTGCAGCGAGAGAATTCCCTCGGATCGTGATGACGTTTCGTGAACTCCTCCTCCGACTTAATTAGCTGGCTTTTCATTGTGCAGGAGCTGCCTCCACCCCGGGGTGGCTCTTGTATAATACTTCTGTTTGACAACAATAAGTACACCGTGAGGTGATGAAAAAAATGTTTTAATAAAGTCACCCAATCGGTAAACTATACAAACTGGTGATGTTTGCGAGACCTCTTTGTCTCGACGTCTTTTGAAATGAACAAAATAAAAAGCTGCATCCTGCAACGTGGAATAAGTTTCATGATGCAAGGAAAAAAAAATAAACTTAATCTTTTCAAGATTTTCCAAAAAATCTTTTATCCGTATTTGACACGGCAGGTGGTTTTGGATTGGTTTGACGAAATTACTCGGGGAAAACTCTATCGATGGCTGGTTTTGCGCACACAGCCATTGCAAAAATGGGATTAGAAAACCTTGGCGAGAGAAAAAGGACAAATTTTCACCTCCATTCGCTGCATTAGCTTAATTATCCCGACATATAGTCGTCGTCGCTTGTTAATTAAAAGCTGGTGTTTATTCGCAATATATAAAACATACGTTGCTTAGACATTAAATACGCGCCATCGCGTCTAATTACGATATATACGCTGCCGCGAGGTGGACTTAATCATCATCACCTCCGACCAATGCTCGCCAAGTATATGATTAACCATAAAGTTATTTTTAAAAATCATCTCGGGCTTTAGTATAAACACCTATTTCTTCAATTATAATTAAAGTGTGATGTGTATACCGTTGGCGGGTCATTTCACTCTCATCAATTGCAATATCAAAAATATTTCCTTTGACTTCACTCTATATATGTATACCCTTTTATATCACTATTATCGGTATATGAGTATAGCAACCCTATGAAGCACCAGTTGACGATACACCCCGATGGTTTGCCGTGAGCTGCGCTTGTTATCGAATTCTCGAGTGCAAGTATAATATACAATACTTATTATACAGTGGGTGTGTGCTGATAATTAATTACTCTCTTCTGTAGTTATATAAGTTATAGCATAAGGCGCACGCGACATTCTTACCTATACGTGTGTACGAATATGTGTGTATGCGCTTGTGAGTGCAAATGCAAACTAAAATAATGAGACGATATTACGGTGTGCACGCTCGCGCAGAGGTGATTCATCACTTTTGACTCAACTCAGTTCGCTCGATTATACAAGACTACCTATTAGGTAAGTGTGTGTGTGTGTGTACCGATATAAGATTTGATGGAGAAGTTCGAGAAGCCGAGAGTGCCAAGGAAATGGAGATTAAAACATGAAAGCGATGGGGATAAATTGCAACAGCGATTGCGACGTGCTTATGAAGTGGGAATGAGTAATGTGCAGAGGGAGGAGGAGTTGTACATCGCAGACGTTGCGGGGAATATTTTTGTGTATGGACAAAAAAAAAAAAACTACACCGTCGATAAATAATAGTTGGGGGCTTGGATCTAGGGAGCATCGTAATTAATTGTGTTTTTAATTACGAGTGGCTGGTTTATGGGGTTTGCGTCGGTGAAAAATATTTCTTCACGTTTATATAGCGGTGGTTTCAAGCCAATTAAATGCTTACTCGAGTACATTTTTCAATTTCATTTTGAGTAAACATTACTGCCATGCACACAAGAAAATATTTATATAGTTACCGTCCACATTGTACCCATGCGAATTCCAATGCAAGCCACTTGCGACGAGATTCGCAAAGTCAGAACAAAGCAATAACAAACACGTGCATACGCACCCACTAGTTTATTAATGTCACAAAGCAAATTTCTCTTTTATGACGACAAGTACAATATTTTTTCAACATTTTCTTTTTTTTTTTTCATTCAAAAATTGGATGTGACTACTTTATGTAGCTACAGTTAAACAATCTGTACTGTTCCAAGTGAGAGGCGTTCATTTGAAATATAAAAAGTATGTACTTATTTATTTTTGTTTTCCTACAATCAGCTGTTATTGTTTTTACAAATTCGTTTCCCAGGGCAGGCAGTGCTCGAAACATCTAATTAAAAAAGTGTAACAAAACAAACTCCCCCGCAATATCAATGTACAGGTGTATACGTAACTCATCATAATATTCCAGCAACAGGTACACAACAAATCCCCTGTTGCCTCCTATCCCTTGTTAAGATCATATTATTTACTTGTGCAGCTTTCACTTAAATCACTCGTATGAATGGTAACAATGCCAGACTAATGCAGTCCGATGAGTATTTATAGGTTGTTCCCCAACTCCCGAGAATCCCAGGGATTCCGGTTGCTCGAGTGTCAATCTCAATTATATGCCTCGTACAAGTAGGCTGCATAGCTCAAAGATCAAAGGGCTGTTGAAACGTAATACAAGGGGACGACGCTGATGACAATTCATAAACATATACTTATGCAAAAATTAAAATATCACTGTTGTCATACGAGCTCAAAGTACTTTTACTATAATTTTTGAATAATGTGCACGATAAAAGCCGTACCCATTGGTATGGATGAAACACCCATCTACGATATAGTTAACTCTAGTTAAGGTACATACTATAGAAATTTCCTTTGGCTACATGATCACAAATCGAATCGGTCATGAGAGTGTTCGTTTCGTCGTCTCGAGAGTTGTAAAACATCGGCACAAAACTCATAGCTTGTGCCTATAACGAGGGTATTTCATCGTATAGTTGATGTACAGGCACCCGATGACGTACGATTCAATCAGCGTTGCATGAGCGCGGTTCAATTTTTTTTTTTTTTCTCTTTTCATCTGCACATGCGGCAGTTTTTTGTTACGCGGAGGTATATGCAATGGACCCACCGTTTTCAAAGTCGCTATACTGCGAATTTTAGAGGTTTCACTCGTGCAGGTGTGTATTACGTAACAATAATAACAATGTTTTCCATTGAACGTACTTTTAAAATGGAAGCTACGTGTTTGTCTGAAAGTTTTTTTTTTTTTTTTTTTTTTTGAATNATAGGCAGGTGTGGCAACAACATCGGCGCGTCGGGTGACAGAGGAGGAGATCGAATGGCTTCACGGTGATAATAGGGGGTTCCGCTCTAATGGTGCCCGTTACAAGTATCGCGCGGGGGAGTGGGGCTCGTAATTTCGATGATAACAACGAGTGTGTGTGTATAGCTCGCGACTTTGGAATTGAAAACGCGATAACGAAACGTGAGAAATACGATTGGCAGCTGCAAGGTGTGATTGTCGGCGCTCTCGTGATTCCTTCTGCGTGTGTGAGGAAGAGAGTGGGCGGTGCTTTAGTTGAAACATTTAATTATGGCGGCAGGTTTTTTGTCTCCCAGTTGGTAATAATTTTTACAGATTATTTTTTTTTTTTTTTTTTTTTTTTTACTCGAGTTTTTCAAGCTTATCGCAAGCTGGTGCAAATTTTTTTCATTTCACTTTAAAAGCATAAACATAAATAATGGACTAAAGGGCACCGGCTGATCAACATTTTTTAAATTTACTTATTTATATAAAGAAGTGGCTGTAAAATAATGCTCGTAACAATGGGTTTTTGTATATAAAAAAGCGTAATTAATGCATTGATCATCAGGTCGAAAAATATGTAAGTGCAAAAAGACACCATATTCAAAAATTTTCGTGCTGCTTGCCGATTTTTATTTTTACGAATTTCAAACTTTTTTTGTTACCTTTTTATGGTAAAAATTATAATATAAAAAAATATGTATATCACCGAACTGTCCAACTGCTTTTTTCAACACGTGTATTTTGGTGTTCACCATTTTTAGACATTTTTTTTTATCTGGTGCGTTTATTTTTACAAACACAAGAGATTTCATTTCGGAGAATTTGTATTTTCTCTTAAAATTATATATACCCTTCGGGTGAAATCCCTTTGAATTAAGCTTCGGGTTTTACTTTTTGCCCACCCAGTAAAGTGCTCGTACAAAACACAACTTCAAACTTCATTATGAAGAACCGCGTGCACAATACAACTCTACCAAAGCCAACTCGGAGCTTTACAATAATTAATTTGCCTTTTCTCTCTCCCTCTTTTTGTTCTTGCACAATATGAATTTATCCGCCCTCTGGGTTGTTTATCAACTCGCTTAAAATCTTGAGCGTACGTATCATTGAAGGGCAATTACCGTACTATTAAAATGAAAATAAATAAATTAAAATTACCCATCAGTTAGAAAATAACAGAATTTTATTTTCGGTTCAATTTTTTATTTTTTAAAATTAAAATTACGAAACTTGTGGGTGTAATGGAAGTAAAATATTACATGTGAGAAAAATACAGTTCCATAGTGATGATTTACAGATGATGAATGTTAAACGTACCTTCACCGCCTTTCGTGCCGTTCACGCATTTCCGAGCATCCTCGTAAATCTTTTCGGCCTGAAACAAGAAAAAAAAAAAAAACCCCTTTTTATAAAACAATATGCCTTTGTGTTTTACCTGCTAGCTGTTGCGTGTACATATTATACTCGCAACAAGCCCTAATGCAAACATCACACCTCGAAAAATTCAATTCGCGCAGTACAGATATAGCTTTTTGTTTAATGTAACATTAGGGAATTAGTCACGTGTATAACCAAGCCAAGTATTGGGTAATAATAATAATTACGTGGCACGGAGGTGTATACATAACATGTACCTTTGACTTTGGCAACTGCAGAGTGAATAGCGAGTTTTGTATTTGCTTGCGAGTACACCCATGTGAACCTACATATACCTATGTAGATGAAGTACCTCTAATAATACCTTGTATAAGTACGAGCTTTCAAGGACTTTGAAACTCTGAGGATGAGACCTTGATTATGTATTGACGGTAACAACAAGTTGATTACGTGTCAACGCGATGTACGACACACATTATGTACAGAAAAGACAACAAATAATCACTAATATCGCAGACGTAAGGGTATGTGCTATTATACATATATCCTGAAAATAATAACCCTTTTTAATTTTTTTTATTTTATGTTACTTAGCATGTAAATATACATATATATATATATTTGTCCTTGAAATCACTAACGTAAGTCATCAGTATACTTATTTCTAGCGCTTCGATTACTGGATTGAAAAAATAAGGATATTCTCCCTCGCGAAACTTTTACCAACCCACCTGACGGGGTGTGTTTTTTGCTCCAAGCTCATTGTTATCCCCGAGGGAGTACAGTTAAGTGTATTTCTTTGGCGAAGCGTGCGGTGGTAGTAGCTGTACAATGTGCCTTTACCATTGCGAATGGTTTGATATTATCCATCCTCCAAGATTTAATGTTGAAAAAAAAAAAAAAAAAAAAAAAAAAAAAAAAAAAAAAAAAAAAAAAAAAAA